CCCCAAAACCCCAAAACCCCAAAACCCCAAACCCCAAAACCCCAAAACCCCAAAACCCCAGTTTTAGCATCAAGAATTGGATTATTGGTTCATGTTAAGAATCTGTGCATCTGAATAAGACCTATCCATCCTTCAAGCAGACTTTTCATTAGTGTTCTGACAGCAATGTTGTTTACGTATGGAGCTGATATCCCTCTGAGAACTATTTCAACTGTTCTTGTAGCTTGAAAGTTGTTGAAAAGAATGAGAACCTTGAAGACTTTTACGACTCTTTCTTCTTAGAATAATATTATCCAGCTCATTTGAGACTTTCTTCCTCTCATTTGACATATTGACTACTCTTTCAAGAGCAAAATTCATATTTCTGACATTCTCCTTATTAGAAAGATCATAAGCTTGGTTAGTGATCTTAAGCTGGGTCATCTCCATGCTTTGTTGTCCAAGGATTAATTTCTGGTCATCAATGACTTTTTGTAACGAATAATTCCTTTGCTCTTCCTGCTGGACCCTAGCTTTAAGCTCATTTATTTCTTTGTAGTAATTCTCTGCTTGCTCTTTAGCAAAGTTAATTTCTTTGTTATTCTCCTTGAGCAACTGGTAGAGATCTATATTTTCCTTTTCAAAATCAGTAAGCGTTGTTTCTAACTTTTTAGCCTGCACAGTCATGTCTTTGAGAGAAGACATGAGCTTATCTCGCTCTCTTTCTGCAATCTTCCTTTTGTTACTCTCTTCTTCAAGTTTTGCTATAGGGTGTTAGTCAAAGTTTTCTTAAGGGAAGATATTTTCCTTTCTATCGGAATACAGTAAACAGAAAGAGTTATTTTACTTGAATGTTACTGACAGGTTTATGAAAAGTATTACCTTCAAGCTGAATATTCTTTTCAATCAAGATATTGTCCTCGTAATGATTTCTACGTATTATATTAACATAAGCAGGATTTTGCATTGGGTCATTATAGTAGTTGTCAAAGGAAATCTGTTTTGAGCTTTTCTTCTTTCGAAGTCTTTTTCCTTCTTTAGAAACAGATCTTTTCCTTTTTGGGCTCTTCCTTCTTGCCTTTGGAGAGACTTTGTAGTAATATTTTGGGTCATTGATCATACTTCGAGATGAGTTTCGAGTTTTAGGAAGTCCTATATCACATTATTGAGAAAGCTATGGTACTTCTTCATATCATATTAAGAATTTATTTAAATTTCAACGCATAGTTTCCCTAAGGGGTTTTGGGGTTTTGGGGTTTTGGGGAG